TACTCCATGTATTGTAGACCAGCCTTAAGAGACGGCTAGACCTGATGTCCCGGCTACTGCACGACGTACCACGTAGTTGACAGTGGTGCTCAATTCTCGTCGTGCGAGATTGATTGACATCGAAGAACAAGCCGGGCTCCAACTGTCTCGAAGTCTGCGATCGCTACTTTAACTTCAGGCCTGTTCTTTATTACTGCACTACTGAACTAGTGCAATAAGTTAAAATGAAACAAATAGATTATCTCTCATTCCAACTCATTGCACCAGTGTGCACTAGTTCAGGAGTGCAGCAATAAAAAACAGACCCTTTCTTAGCATATGCGTGAGCTAATCAGCGACTGTCGTGACGAGCGTGACTCGGCCATTTCTTAAACAATACACGTCATATTTGTCCGCGCGCGGGGGGCTTGTTTTCAGCAAAAACGAACGCGTCTGTCGCGAATAATTAATGAATTAATTAGCATGTGCAATGTCTGGCGATGACGGCGGCTTCTCATCGGCACGCGCGTCGCGTACAGAAAGTTGCAGCGTAATTGCAATAGAAAGTAGATCTAAAACGATGTTAAAACGAATGTCGCGTTTACTATTTAAAGAAAAAAGTGCAATTTATATAGCGCTTCTGCGTTTTCATTTTATTTCTCTCGTGACGCAGGAGAAATAAGACGAAGGCAGGTTTATTTCTTGGCTTGAATAAAATTGATCTAAATTGATTCAAATGGCACTTTATCAATAGAGAAAAGAGTGCCCTATTATGAGATAGGCCCCTAATATGAGACAGCGGGGCTTCTTGCTGAATCAATAGACGTTTGTTAGTTCCACCATGAATTTATTGCCCTTGGAGTGAAATCCGCTTAGCGGAAAATGCGTCGTTAGATCGTGTGATCGTCGCGAAGAAAGAGCTGCCGAGAAATAAACCTTCCCACGTTCCTTTGATTGAGTCTGAACGTTGAAAACCTGCCATTTTATACATTTTTACTAGCAAAATGCGACGAAAATCATTGGGGACCAAACGATGGAGGTGAAACGTAAAGCAGGCATAGTCTTTTTCGATTCGCGGGTCGCGCTCAAAATTTTCAAACCACGCCTGGCCGAAACCATTTTGCCGATTGAATTAATCGCAGGAGTTTGGTCGAACTTGACCCCTTCTGACCCGTGAATGCGCGCGAATTTAGACACGCCGAAGCATAAATACGCATTTGTCACTAACAATGCGCTCAAGTTCCATGTGCTGAGGCCATTTAAAATCCCTGTGCGTTATTTGTGAGCGTCGCGCGCATGTTTACTGCAATATTACTATCTAGCGCTATTACGTAACACTCGCGCCGCACAGAATGTTACAACATGCAAACTATCTGTACGTGAAAAAGTGGGACAGTCGCGTTAGGATCGTACACATAATCGACCAGGTGCATTATCCTACATACAGGTTGTTCACCGAAATTCGCAGAAACGCTCACGAAGTTGTCGCGACGTACAGCGATCTAGTCGTCGCGCACGGAACGTCTTTGAAGTATCATTTCTAAAATAACGTCTTTCCACCTCGATAAATTAGAAAGAAATGAAGAAAGGCAGGTGTTGGCGAAAATTTCCAATAATAAATTGGCGCAAGAGAAAGGAAACATTCTACATGGAGGGAATTTTTTCTTAAAATTTAGCCTGAAAATCACGTAATCGTTGGAGAATTTTGTGAGAGTTTGTTGATATTTTACCGCACATTTTACTAGTAATTGTATTTAGTAGACATTTTACTGCTAGAATGTATGGTAAAATTTCGAAAAACTCTTATAAAGTTCTTCAAAATGCCACGCTTACATGATTTTCAGGATAAATTTTAAGAGAAAATTCTCTCCCCATGTTAAGATTTCGCGTTTTATTCGGCGGACACGTGTGCTTTTGCTTTAGCAGACTTTTCCACGTTTTAAAGAGCCACTTACAATTAGACTTTAAATGTTCGCTAAGAAAGAAACGAGTGTTTAAAGAATTCAACCTACGACTTGCTTATCATTGTCCTGTATCTTCATCTAATAATTAAATTCACGATGAAGTTACGATTCGCGAAATTAAAAACAAAGCTGTTAACTTAGTTTTTATCGCTGCGATACGTATCTCTTGCATAAGAGAAAGCTTTCCTAGATAAAGCGCACGACTTACAATCGCGTATATTACATCACGTGTTGTCAGGGAACGAAGGTTCGAAAATTGTATGCTACCCGATACGAGCACAGATCCCCCTTTAATCTCTAATTTGATATTTTAATTTCGCGCACGCGAGATCAATGCCGTCCTTTATTCCCGAGTTCTTTGCAAGTTCCGCAAAATTTCATGTCCAATTGCAGCTCAGCCGATGCCTCTGTGGATTCTGTAATCTTTACGATAAAAGATCGGCTCAAGTTACTGATTATATCGGAATATCTCGGCGATAACTTCTTTTCAAATTTTTCGCGTGGACCCGGTTCCTCCAAATAGTCTGCAAGAAAGAGCCATGTCCCGAAATTGCTTAAAATCACAACTCACGTCTACTTTTACCAATGGAGAATAACTTTGACCTTTGTTTTTTTTCATTTTTATCTGCTTCCGATTCTTAAAAGGATGAAAACTTGCACCGAGAGAGAGCCAGTGTTGAATTAAAATAACGTCTCCTGTTTCGACTACGCGGTGCTATCGAGCAACTATTTGTTAATTCAAAAGTACTCGTCGATTAAAACAAATATATATTTCGATAAATTAAAGGAATGCTGCCAACTCTAGTCGCATCAGCGAGTTTCTTTTCTCAGTGTATCGGGGTAGAAGTGAACATTAAAAATGTTTCTACTAGAAAAGAAACTACGCTAGATCTCGCTCCTTTTCGACACGTCGGGAATTTATGCACAAGATGTCACGGTTTCGTTACGTTGGAAATTCTATGTGCACAGCGACGACAGTCCCCCATTATGCCTGTACTGGAAAGTTATAAATGTGCACGATAATGGCGATACGCGCCGAGTTATCAGGAGAGTTCAAAGTACGTGATTTCATCAAGATGCGTGGCCGATGGTGCGCGCACGCGCAGTAGCTGCCGCAAACGCTGCTTATTAATTTACCTAACTATCTAACAATTGCATTAAAAGTCTGATTGTCCCCAGCGTAAATCTTATTCGTCGCGATACTTTCGATGGAGATATGTAGATGAAAATTTTTTACTTCGATTTAAAAAATATATAAATTACACAGTTTTTTTCCACAGTAATGTAGGGAGTAAAGTGAATTTACGCAATGCTGAAAACGCCATTTCTATTTGCAATTTTTATAAGGCACTTTCGATTAAAACAAAGCTAGACTGCAACGCGAGGCAAAGTGTCGAGCCGGAAGTAATTAACGCTCGAGAGTTAAAAATATACGTTCATACAGTGTGAATGCAATAAAGACTGATATATTTCATTTAATTCGCGCACATTATTGATGCGTTTAAAGCAACGCGTTTGGGAATACATTTGGTCTGCCGTATTATTGAAATCGCGTACTTCGAAGCCTCCGGCTGAATCCGCGTATAAAAAGCGCGATCGCGATTAATGATATACCTCAGTGTTGCGCGCATTGCGCAAGAATATTTGCTACGCGGTAGGCAAGATTATACTTGCAGAACCAGCTCGCAGTATCGCATTCGCGGCAAAAGTGCGCGATAAATTTGTTTCGATCCAATTCTCTCCTTGTTAGAACCAGTAGACACCGCGCGAGCAGTTTCAGGTCTCTCCAACCTTTTCGAAATTCGTCCCGTTTCGCAGCATGTCAATGCTGCTTCCAACGTTATCAGCGTTCTAAAAATGTCCGGCAAAATGCTAATGCCCACTCCTCTATGTCACGCTTATCCGAGGCTCGAGGGATGAAAGCGCCATAATGTGCAAAATTGGCAGGCACGATTTTTTATTTGAAGAAATTCGGACGTGGGACGTGTTTTTGCATGTATTCCCGAATATAATACGTATATTAAATTATTAATTATTCGCACGGAAACGTGACAAAACTCTGCGGTGTAAAGGCGAACTTGGTCCAAGTTCTAGCATCGTCGACACAGGCTTCGAGTACTTCGACTGTTCTCGTGATAAACGATACAACCCAGTAAACATCATCCAACGGTTACATAACAGCAATACTTCAATTTCCAGCTCAATAACGTAACTGATGTGTACAATATGCGTCGTATTACATTTGTCTTGTTGAGTGAGTAATATATATCGATGCTTATAATATAAATTATAATATAAAATATATGATAACGTTCGTACTATATTAATGCTATGTTACTGCTACGTGAAGTTATACAATGTTACGTAATTATTAGTCGGTGTTTACTGGGCAGTTGTATCTCTTATCATAAAAATTCCCGATGTCATAGTTTAAATCGTGGCAGAAATTATAATTTGTACGAGAATCTTCGCGCAAGACTCTCGTTTCTGTAGACGCGATTTCGCACTGCAGGAATTTTGGAAATTGTAGTTCGACTTGGATTCGAAAACTCAACGAAATACACACGTGCGTGTTTCTTCCGTACAGCTGGTATTACATTTGTCGTACGACAAATTGTTTAAGCGTGTTGATTGGCTCTACAAGATAAAGTAAAATTGTCGAGCGTCTAAAAATGTTCTATTCAGCAGCCAGTCAACGCGCTTAAAAAATTTGTCGTACGACAAACGCAATACCAGCCTAAGGCCCGGTTTCAACGAACGTCGCTTAACTTTAATCTTAGTTTAATTCATTTTGTCTCTTTTTAAAGTAACAGTTGGAAAGAAAACAAAGGACGAATTAAGCCAAGCTTGAAGTTAAACAACGTTGGTGAAATCGGGCTTGAGACTCTTGTCATTCGCTTCACAGATCGCATCGAAAATTTACATTGTTTGAGATCCGCAAGAAAAGGCAAAGGAAACCTGTAAGATACTACTAGAACGTTTACGATGCACTCAATTACCGCCACTCTGCGCCAACGTTCTCTCTACGATTCGCGACCTTCGCCATATACCTTCGGACATGTTTTATCGCAAAACTTACGACTGTCAGTATCGCGTAGATACGAAGCGAGAGTGGCGTCGAATTTTTTCTCAATTTGGTGCGATTTGTCTCGCGAAGTAAATTATACGTTTAAATAAGACGTAACAGATACGGTCAGGAAAATAACTAAAGTCGCGCCACTGTGGCGTGATAAAGTGCAGATAAGTTAAATGCCGCGCGGATGAGTGGCGTTATTTTTTTTTTTAAATAATCGCATCTATCAGATTAAACAAACAAAACGATTTTCAAATCGTTTTATCTCGCTACATCGGCGATATATATCGGCGCGCGACACACCTCGTAGCGCTCGGGTGAGGCCCGTCCGGGACATTAAAAAAATTAAAATGCGCTTATCCGCGCGGAATTTACATTCTGAAGCAGGCGACGGAGTCGTGCCGAGTGCACCGAGTCGACGTCGATTTAATAAACGGTGTACGCTGCGTTGGAAAGAAATTCCCAAGACATTGCGACACGTCCGGCGCGCATTGTCCGTCGATCGCGGGCCGCGAAATCGCACGGTTAGATCGAGCTCTTTGAAAGAATGATCGATATGTCTCCACGAAGTTAACGGGCGTGAGTCAACTAGTGTACAAATGGAAACTCGCGATTTTATGCGACGTCCTTGATTGCACCGCGACTTCCTGAAGTGACAAAACGGATTTCTTTCTCAGACTTTTAGCCAGTGCTAATAGTATTCGTTATTGCGTATCACGTAATAAAAAATACACAGTGAGATTTGCAATATTTAGCATCTGTATCTTTCATATTCCTCTGACAGGCAAATTTCACAGTGGAGAGTGTAAAAAGTAATATGGTTAGTATTACTGGCGTATTGTTATTAACGGAGGAAAGTCCTCCATTACGTGAGACAAGCTTCTGCCATGAGATAGCAGGTTTTCAACGTCGGAATTCAATCGCAAATCTTTATTCGCAACGATTGCACGATCTAACAGTGAACTTTCCACTAAACAGATTTCACTACAAGGGCAATAAATTGACGACGAAACCGGACGATACCTGTTAATTCAGTAAAAATGCTATCTCATGTCAGGAGCTTATCTCATAATAGGGGACTTTCCTTTATAATATACAATGTCTGAGCGTAACTTGGGGCACTCTTTGCACGTTCTAGTCCCACAATTAATTATCCACTGGCTCTCGACGAGTAGCTTGCGGCAAGTGCTTGCCCAACGAGTCTAGTGTAGTTTTGTGACTAAAGGGAAAAAAAAGGGGGAACGATAACGTTGCGGACATCAGGGTGCAGCGATTATGTCACTGGCACTTGAGTCGTGGATGATAATTGCCGTGACGAGGCGACGAAGTGGGTCGCCGGCTCTTAGATGATAGATAGGATTTCGAAATTGCCGTTCTCAGGTCTACGATCGACGGGCAAGATTATTTCTATCGCGCTCAGATTTTATCGCGATGTTTATCGTATAAAAAGCTTTCGCGCTCGCTCCCAGATTGTCCATTAGCGAAATGAGTGGTGACGAGGGTTGTGCGGGCCGTCGCGGTTTCTCCCTTGCATTTTGGAAAAAAAAGAAAAAGCCTAATCAGGCGCGCGAGAAGACTTCCGACTGTGTAACGAAGCCTTTGTACAGTTGTTGCTGAAATAATCGAATCGCGGATAAACGGGCTGATACCAGCCGGCGTGGATGTCGATATAACTCGATTGCCTCTCACACTTTTACTTACGTTTCGGTTGAAGAAGAGTTTATTTGCGATACTGATACCGGCAACGTCGTACGAATATCTAAGATTGCCAATGTATTGTCCAGTCTGTCCTTATTTCCGAAACGTGGACCAGCTTTTATTTCAAAAAACGAATTAACTCGTTTAATTATATGCGAGAGAATTTCCTTTTGCAATTTATCCTGGAAATTATGTAATCGCGTAACAACACGGCATTCCGAAGAATTTTATGACAATTTTTTGAAAATTTCCCATACATTTCACTAGAAAGTATATTTATATATTTCACTAGTAAAATGTGCGGTAAAAGTACAAAAAGAAACTCTCATAAGGTTCTTCAAGATGCCATGTTGTCTCACGATCACATGATTTTTCAGGACAAAATTTAAGAGGGAATTCTCTCCGTGTAATAATTAAAATTCGACAAGCATCATAGAATCTCTCTCGGATCTAACAATGTAAAGAATGTCGCGATAATTCCAGTGATAAAATGTAAAAATAAAATCTTACGTACAGAGAGATATGATTAAAAGATCGCTTTTATTTGAATAAGTTTTAAGATCGCATGAACCTCGTGGTATCAAGGCTGTTTAGTGAAATCGATCATATCTGTTGACAGAGCTTGTCGATTCATGCTGAGAATCGCGTTGTAGATGAATTTATTTGGCACGTGATTAGTCGATCATTCTCAATTTTTGTTTACAGGGCGAAGGACCCGTATTATTAACCGCCAATGGAGCGCCCGTCGCCGAGAAGAAGGCCAGCCTCACGGTTGGCCCCCGTGGGCCCATGTTGCTGCAAGACTTCGTTTACCTGGACGAAATGTCGCATTTCGCCAGGGAGAGAATTCCAGAACGGGTTGTGCACGCGAAGGGAGCCGGTACGTTTTCAGGGTGTCCAGTGGTCGGGGAAAAGTCAGGAAGTTTCACGATTTATCTGGATTTTTTTACAGCGTTTCACATTTTTTCCGAATAATGTAAAGCCTTTAGAAAATAAACTTTCCTTTGGCTCTCAGTACAGTAATTTTTCCGGCTCGCTAAACATCAATTTATTTATAAGCGTGGTCGGTAATTTATACTTTCATCGTCGCGTTATTTTATTTCTATGTGTCCAACTGAGACAAAACTATTAAAAACAAAAGATGAATTACTAAACAGTGCCTAATCGTCATAACTTTTGTTTTTAGGTGCGTTTGGCTACTTCGAAGTTACCCACGACATCACCAAGTATTCTAAAGCCAAGGTGTTTTCCAGCATTGGAAAGAGGACTCCCATCGCTATAAGGTGCTCCACCGTCGGTGGTGAAAGCGGTTCTGCCGACACTGTCAGGTAATAAATAGATAAAATGCCAATGCTGTGTGATAGAATATTATTTGACTCTAACGCGGACGGTTTAATGAATATTCCAAGGAGGTAACTGCGCCTCTCACTTGCCTTTCTGCACATCCAATGTACGTTAATTGAGTTTTTCTGCGAAAACGCTCGTCGAATTGAAACATCTGCTCACTTGTAGAATATTACAAAAATTAACAAAAGTGTTCCAATTCTAGCATTTTCGTGTTGATTTTTATAACACTTAAAATTTACGTAGAATTTCTTAGATTCCGGCAGTTATATTTAATTTTCTTGTAGAATTTTGCAGAATTATTTCCGGCAGGGAAATATTGCACTATTCACTAAAAATGTCTCCAATACCTTTCTTGCTATAGAGAATATACGCATGCATCGTCTTTGTGTCGCCCTAGTTAGTCACATGCGTATCCACAGACGCAAGTATCACACTCCAACGCTTTTTGCAGTAGAATAACTTTCTATCATTCAATGTGGCGCAAACCAGGAACATGATTCACAAGGATTGCGCACCGCTTTTTTGAATTGCGCTTTGTTCAGCTAATTCGAGTGGCGAAATATGCACAATAGAAATGGAACATTCTTGCGTTCTGATTACTATCAGTCTGCTTATTGCATTCTGTTGTATCTTTTTTTTTAGAGATCCACGTGGATTCGCCGTGAAATTCTACACCGAGGAGGGTATCTGGGATCTCGTGGGCAACAATACGCCGATCTTCTTTATCAAGGACCCCCTCTTCTTCCCGAGTTTCATACACACGCAAAAGAGAAATCCAGCGACTCACCTGAAGGTTTGAATTATTATTTGCATATTACAGTCTAACGCTATTTCTGTTTATTAAATAACGCTCGTGTTAAACACTTCCTTTGTTATGAAAGCTAAATTATAGTATGGCAAAGCCTGTATCAGTAAAACTCTCTTTCAGGATGCTGACATGTTCTGGGACTTTATCTCCCTCAGGCCCGAGACGACGCATCAAGTTATGTTTCTCTTCGCCGATCGTGGCATTCCCGATGGATATCGTCATATGAACGGCTATGGTTCACATACGTTCAAGCTGGTGAACAGCAAGAATGAAATGGTCTATTGCAAATTCCACTACAAGGTCTGTTCTATTTCAAACCTGAAACAAAGTAACGCGCTATTCAATCTATTCACGATCATGAATATTTAATGATTTTACAGACTAATCAAGGGATCAAGAATATTCTTGCGGAGAAGGCCGCTGAGCTTAGCGCTTCCGATCCTGATTATTCAATCAGAGATCTTTACAATGCTATCGCTAAGGGTCAGTGTCCGTCCTGGACTTTCTACATCCAAGTGATGACCGCTGAACAAGCAAAGAACTTCAAGTGGAATCCGTTTGACCTGACAAAGGTAATTATTCCCTAATCCACTCGATATTCCAGCTCAGCAAAACACTCCTTTGAAACTTATGCAATTCTTTTTGTAGGTGTGGCCGCACAAGGAATATCCGCTGATACAGGTCGGCAAGATGGTGCTCGATCGCAATCCCGAGAACTACTTCGCCGACGTGGAGCAAATGGCGTTTGATCCGGCGCACATGGTACCTGGTATCGAGCCGAGTCCCGATAAAATGCTGCAGGGGCGACTCTTCGCCTACGGCGACACTCACAGGCATCGCCTGGGCCCGAATCATCTTCAGTTACCAGTGAATTGTCCGTACAAGGTAACGTTTTGTAACATCTCAGTCTTTAAGATGTTTCTCAGGCATACGTGCAATCCAATATTTGATTGTACTATTATAATATATATTATTCACGATTAATATTAAAAATATAACTATGAATCATAATTGAGATACAATATGTATTAATATTATATAAGTTTCTCGACTAATGAAATATACTGATTTTTAGGCGATTTCCGCGATGCACTATCAACGAGATGGTTTCATGCCGATACACAACCACGGTGGCGCACCGAATTATTATCCGAACAGCTTTTCCGGACCGAAGGAGTGTCCAGCCGTTCGTTCACCGCCGTTCCATGCGAGCGGAGAGGTGGACCGTTACGATCCCGTGGATGAGGACGACTTTGGTCAGGCCACTAACTTCTGGAAGAAGATTCTCGACGAGGCAGCCAAAGAGAGGCTGGTGCAGAACATGGTCGGGAGTCTGCGCAACGCCTCGACGTTCATCGTCGAACGGGCCGTGCGAAACTTCGCTAGGGTGGACGTCGATCTCGGTCAGAGACTGACGGACGGCTTGCGCAAGTGCGGAATGTATATCAATGCCTTGGGCAAATCGGCCAATCTCTGAAGAGGATGTCTCTCTTTCGTTTTGTACCATAACGTATAACTGCTATAATACGCAACAAAGACGTAAATGTTAACTACGCAATTACGATATATAATACTTGTTATTAATCGAACATATTCGGCAAGAGCTTTGTCGAAGATATTTCTTTTCCACTGGTAGCAATCGACATTTTTATTCTAGAGTTGCCGCTTTGTAATACTAATACTATACTACTGTTTTACAAGGGTGTAGGTATAAAACTGAATGGTGCCTTTTCACAAACTGACTACATTACATTTGGAAAAACCCGAGCATTGTTCCACTATCTTTTAAGATACTGCATTTTGCTACAGTGATTATTGATTGTGATGATGCGTGAATATCGTTTAGGTTTTATGGCTCTTTTGAAGAAGGAGTGTGTTGGGATTTATAAATTTTAAATAAAATTGGAAATTGTCACAAGCGAGTGTATTGTACTCGGATGCTTCCGCATGTGCCTTTCCTGACGTCTGCCTTATACGTACAAAAGGATTTAAAAAACGCCCGACTTTACCTTGGTTCGAATTCAAGGTAGACGACAGTGAGTCACGTCGCCAATTAGGGTAACCTGTGCGACAAAGCCATTTCGACTCCATTTAAACTGCACACAAAGCGCACCCGCTCTTATCCGTCGTTCCGGAGTCCAACCGAGCGTTTCGTACAATTGCCAAAAGGTACGTGTTTGCTCCGAATTGCATCTTTTTCAAATTAAGAAAATACAAATCTAGACTTTTGTATATCTTAAGATAATGGCTCGACAGTGTAATATAAAAATGGAAAATTAGCTAAGAATGACTAGACTCCGATTAACTTCTTCGGTGATTAAGTCCCGGTTTCACCAAACGTCGCTTAACTTTAAGCTTAGCTTAATTCGTTGTTTATCTCTTTGCAACTGTTACTTTAGAAAGAGACGAACGTGAATTAGACTAAAATTAAAATTAAGCGACGTTTGGTGAAACCGAGCCTAATTTGGAATAAAGCGAGGCTTCTAATTGTTTATAACTTTCATGACTTGCATTGTCGCCGAACGAAACTTTCTTCTCCATCTTCTGCAATAAAACAATTTTACCTGTTAACAAAATAATGCAGTATCAGTTGATAATCAATGTAGTTAATCGGAATTCGGTCAAAGTAGTCCTAAAATAAATGAATTTAAGCAAAATATTTATAAAATATTCCATCATACGACTATAATTATTTCAATTGTTGCTATGCGAATTTAAATTAGTTATATCTTCCCACATTTGTCTTTTCGCTTTCTCCTCGTCCGAATTTAAGACATATCGCTTTCTAATCGTAGAAATGTAAAGTGCAGTTAAATCACCTCGACACGCTTCCTTTCCTTCTTTGTTTTCATTGCACCTGGTGCACCTTCCCTTTGTTTCCCTTTTCTTTCCAAGCACACGTGCCACTCTTCAAGACTGAAGACCGTGCGAGGAAGCGTGGCCAGAGCGAACGGACTCGGATGCATTCGCAACTTACGTATTCGCCCTCGAATTTAGCGGCGCATTTGTCTCCTCGCGAGGAAAAAGTACGACTCGGGGAACACAGGTCGCGGGTCGCGGAGCTGCACCTGCGGGACGTTCGAACGCGCGCGGGGCGGCGCGGCGGCAGCAGCACTTCCGGTCGAATCTGACAAGTCCCGACTCCCGAGATGTCGTAGGTGCGCGGTCTCTCAGACTCTCACAGCTGTTTCCAAATTCGTTCGCCGCGGATCGTCGCGGGATGCTGGCCGGCGAGCACGCGCGTTCGCAGACGGACCCGAGGATTCCGAGGTGCAGACGGGCCTGAGGGACGCGACTCCTCCCGCGGCGCAGTGTCTGTCGACCTCGTCGCGCGCGTCCGATTAACCTGCGCGGCCGCGATCTCCTCGAGTAAGGGCACCCCGCGAGGAAACGCGGCACCGCCAACTCCCTCGCATCACGGACGTTCTTTTTATAGTTACAGGCTGACCTACTTCTCGTCTTGACGCGCGCTCAAAGTCGGGCCAGCAGCCAGCAGCTCGCGTGCAGATCATGCAACGGCTAGTCTTTTGAATTGTTATATATACATACTATATATATATATATAAAAACACATCGACACTCAGCACTATGCCAGACAGGTACGCTGCTTATCGGCTTTGTTTACATTGTAATCCGATGGCCGTCAGGGTCTGTCCAGACAAGCTTGCGTAGGTGCATAAGCGTAAAGAAACCGATTGGTCTACTTGTGCACGCACTTGTGGCCCGATCAGATTCCTCATGCAAGTTCGTCTGGCTAGACCCTTATTCCTCGTCCTTGTCCTGCGAGCGGAATCTTTCAAATTTCAAGCTTTGCTTTCAGGAAAGCAGTCCTGGAGTGCGTTCCCATTTCCAGTGCTACTGCCAGCGCTGGACGCCGTTACTGAATTCGGCTGATCTTCTGAGAGGATCACTTCCAAATGAGTATTTTGCTAATAACGCAGCAGTTATTCTTTTCTGAATGCAACCAACGCCTTTTCCTTGACACTGAATGCCCGAGACTATTGGGAGCACTGTCGGTAGTACTGAGAGGAAATGGGAACACATCCTGGATGTGACGCGACATTCGTTACAAGCATCAGTGGCCGATTTATCTTTGTGCTGTTAATATTTTTCGATCCGGGACAAGTAATTTGGAAGGAGACACGATTTGCCTGCGCTTTGTCAGGAAAGTTTTGGTCAGTGCTGGAGTAATATGGAACCTGACTCCTTTGCTGTCTTTTATTTAATGATATGTAGTTTTTCAAGAACGACCTACACTGGCCAGTGCTTTTATTTGAAGAACAAACGACGTTTCGGTCCCGGATTTGGACCCTTTTCAAGTAATCTTTTCGCACAATTGTTATTGTTCTCGTACCGTTTGTTTGGCCAATGTCATTATGTTAATAAGATATTGGTAAAAAAATGATTGCTCGATCCGACATCTCGTCTAACACACATCTCTCGATACTTTTACACGTCTCGTACAATTAACAATGCAACTTCAATTGACTCTGTACTCTTCAACCAAGGAGCGCAATCATTTTTTTACTAATATCTTATTAACATAATGACATTGGCCAAACGAACGATACGAGAACAATAACAATTGTGCGAAAAGATTACTTGAAAAGGGTCCAAATCCGGGACCGAGACGTCGTTTGTTTTCTTAAATAAAAATATTGGCCAGTGTAGAGAAAATATCGCTTGGTTAAACGTAATAGTAAATGTTTTAGTTAAATGTAGATATTTAACTAAAATAGTGGCCAGCCAACTGTATTACATTATATCATGAGATAATTTTTCTCAGTATCATTAAGTCCTATTCCTCGATGGTTATTGTAAACTACTTATTTTTCATTTTACAAATAATATACTTCTGAAACCTGACGCTCGTTATTATGATCATGCAGCAATCAAAAAATGGAAAACGAGGATGAGCAGAAGCATAACACAAATGACGCTGGTACATCAACGAACTGTGATACTAATACACAGTTGAGTGTGCAAAATAATGTTCAAAACAGGTATGTAGTTGAAGTCTGCAGCAAATACGTAACAAAAGCAACACTTTGATGCCTAATTTATTACGATTAGTGTTTTATACGAAGATTATCATGTATGATGTGCTATTGCATCATACACAGTTTACTTTTTGTACATACCTCTTGTGTTAACGCAGGCAACCAACGCCCCCAAATTTTATGATAAGTGGATTAACAGGACTGTCACCACCTAAATACGTGTCTTTTGACGAAATTGCAAAAGCTGCCAACGGAATGAAAAATATGGCCTTAGCACACGAAATCGCGGTAGATAAGAATTTTCAGCTGCAAAAATTGGAGCCGGAAGACGGTAGTTTTCATAGGCGAGTAAAAGAAATAATGCACACAGCTTTTTGGAATCTGCTAGCGGAGCAGTTGGCCGAAGATCCGCCAGATTATTCGCACGCACTGGTTTTAATGAAAGAAATTAAAGAAGTAATAATTCTCTTTTGTTCTGTTACGACGGAAGGAGGCGTCGAACAATATGTAATAACGTCCTCTCTACTTGTTTCAGTCACTGGACGAGCTCGTACCACCGCATAATTCGAGAATCAAAGAAAATATCAGAGAGGTGCTTGATTTAGACCTGATCAAGCAGCAAGCGGAGAAAGGTGTATTAGATTTTTGCCATTACGGGGAATACATAATCTCCATTATGAGTAAAATATGCGCGCCCGTGAGAGATGAGAAAATCAAAGAGCTGTCGCAGCAGGCAAACATCGTTGAGACATACAAGGGCATCATGGACTTGTTGCAGCTAATGAGATTGGATCTGGCAAATTTTACCATCACGATGATGAGGCCAAATATCATTGCGATGAGTATTGACTATGAGAAAGCAAAGTTTGCCGAGTTTTTAAAGATTAACTCGAACGGCTTGCAATACACAGAGAGATGGTTACTGAAACATTTCGATCCAGAGAAAGTCCCAGGCTCAGCCAGCGCCGGTACTAATAATGTAAGACAAATCACTCACTTTTTATTGACAGAGGCGTACCTTGATCTGCTGGAATGGGATTTTAATCTAAACGCCGAGGTATGAGAATACTTTATCGATTTTATATTGCACTCTCGATAAGTTTATTATAAACGGGATTATTTTCATCTAGACACTGATGCTGGATCAAGGGAGACTTCTGGAATTGCGTGACGTAACCAGTAGATTGAGCGTCGTTGGTTCTGTGATACTATTGGTTAATAATACAATTGGTGCACCGATTCATGGGATCTCGAGCTTTAAGAAGAATATTAAGGAGCATTTAAATGCACTGTTGGATTCTGTACATTCGAACAAGTACGTTAAATTGTAACGGAAAACTAGAGTTCCTCTAATCAGATTCTGGCATATATGCTGTATGTAGAGTGAGAGGGAATATATTTCTTTCTTTCTCGCATCATTTTTTGCCGAAACTGGCCTGTTGGGCCAGACTCTGATTAGAGGGACTCTACGGAAAACAAGTTGTAATAAAATATATTGATTAGTTTTTAATCTATCGTGTATATAGTTCATCATAAATTTGTCATATTCAAAATTAACGTGTTTTCTTTTATTTCTGCTGTAGAGATCTAGAAGCTGCAATGCCAAATATTATACTACAAGTAAAAACAGATGTGAAAACAACATTGCAGGAAGTCAACGCTCCCGAGTTATCGTCGGAAGTAGAAACGTTATTGGAAGGTCAAATAGCCGATCTTATCGATACAAAACATAAGATCAGATATCTCGTCAGTAAGTGTAAAAACGATTTTAACAGCGCACCTTTGACCAACACTTCTGACTATAAAATATGTCGTTTTAGATCTACGTATTAGACAGTTCCTGCAGAAAATCATTCAATCGCAATCCACTGCACCCCAACAAGTACCGCCGGGCCTTTCCTCGCTGCAAGAGGAGTTAGCGGCTGTTGCTGCCCGATTTGTAATACTTGTCTCGCATAACCGCAGCGTATTCTGCGAGTATTATCAAGATATTGTTGCAAACGCGCTTGCAAAGAGCGACGTTGACAATAATAAACAGATACACGAAGCACATACTATGGAATTGTAAAGAGAAATAATGTTAATACACTCGGATTTCACTCTGTATCCGAGACATATGTTATATCGAGATCATCTGGTAGCATCAGACAATTGAGTTCCTCCGATGAATCGTCGCTACGCATCTCGTAATAAAGAGCTCATTTTCGAGCGCCTACATTGAAGTTCACGCGCTATATCGAGGTGCGAGTGTATATAATTTTTCATCTTTATGTCCGTTTAATTGTATAATGGACAGTATTCATAAATTGAATATTACATGATTAACACGATAGAAAAGATATCTGTATTTTTTATCATCACTCACGATTGCAAGCACGATTATTAACGCCAAACAGTAACAGAACTGTATTATTCTTTTTATTTTACTTACAGAATATATTAGTGTATGATATATACATTGTCTCATTAAATTAACGGTATACGATGTCTTTCTTTCCGCATGTTTTTTTTGTAATAAATCAGTGTATTTGATTAAAAAATTATCATGTATAAATATATGTAAAATATGCATGTAAGTATGTTCACATTTGCAGTACTGATGTTTTTCATCGTCAACGCCAATTTTATACTATTATAACAAAAATAAAATAATTTAGTTCTATCATATTTTAGATTTTCCAACTTTTGTCGACTTCGCTGTAATGACGAATGCATTATTTTACATTCCGCACGAATAGTCTAGTCGATCTCGTAAGTAGCAGTAGTAGCAGTAGTAGTGGGAAAAAATCGGGTGGGCCTAATACACATGTCTTAATGGTATCTAGAGCGTTTGTTCCTTTGTTCGGGCGTAACCGAATGAAAACTGGTAATTTTCAGGCGGATTTGAACCCGAATCTTCAGCTTATTAAAACAGCGCAAGTCTTATTGCGTTACAGCTACCACTTATTGATCTTATAAATTTGAATAAAAATGTTACTAACAAGCAGATTTTTAGTCTTTTATTAAAAGTCTGTGTTAAACAACATATAAATTTCAATTAAGCAAAATAAAACTGTACATACATATGTGCACTTGCGGCATTCGTTGATTTTTAAGCATTTCAAGTTGATTGAGGCAACTTTAAATTCTTTACGTAATTGTCAAAAGTTGCAATATGTTGTTTCTTTAGGAAACTGTGAAATCCTAAAAGTAAAAATATTCTTGTTTAATCTGTTTTCACTCCTAACTTTCTCCATCAATTTGTGGATGTGCAGAAGACTTACCTATAAACAAATGCCGTAGCTGTCCAACGGGCGGAAACAAACTAGACAACGTCTTCAATAATTCGTCGAAATCGCCACTTTGCGTGTAGCTTTGTATCATAAGTGCAAATGTTTTATAATCATTCGCTGACAATGCCCGTTTTACCTATAAACATTATTTCCGTTTAGATTACTTTTTACACAAAGGCAATTGAATCATTGTGTACTTACATCCTTCAAATATTGCTTTCCCAGTGCCTTTTTATCGTCTTTACTGGTGTCCTTATCGCTTTGGGTGAAACTTTGCGTGGAATTATTTTCAGGAGCCGCCGACGAAGAGGTCGAAGGAGCGGTAAAGTATGAATTAATTCCAGGTGATACAATATTAATTTTTCTTCTCTTTGCGACCGGTTCTTCGGATCGGGGCTTCGTTAATTCGCACGTACTCTGATTGTCTTTTAATTTGCAAGAACTAAAATTGATCACGGATTGCGGCTTCGCTAATTGTTTGTCCTTTGCACTGTCGTCTAGATACATGTCTATGTTAAAACTATTCTTAATCGACTCTTCTGTCGCATTATTCTGTGCCTTTTGGCCGAGAGAATGAGACACCGTCGTTTCGAAGGTAGCACCCACAGCAGGCAACGATATATCGCCAATGTTCCCATATTGCGCACGAGTGATACTGGGCTGCGGCAGCTGAAATTACTTGTGAGTTGAAACATAATTGTCGATTACCTTTAATAATTGCATCTATTTTCGAAAAAAAAACTTACCGTACTCTCCGCGTTCCTAAAAAAGTCTCGTAATTGTTTCGTGATCATCCCGAAATTCGTGAACTTTTTTACGTACGGTCTGAGCCAAGCGGACAATTGTTTCTTAAAGTTTGGATTTTCGAATCTACAGTCACATAGCACCACAGCGCCGTAATCGCTTTTGTGCCTTATTATCCTGCCAATAGCTTGATTGACAGCCCGGGATGCTTCAAGTTGATACCATTCTTGCCCGGTTAGACTCTGAATATTAAATTCGTTCGTCAATCTTATTAAAATTTCGCCATCGAGTTATTATTTATAGAGAAGTTCGGGTATAATGTATACTTCTTTTTCTGTAGTTCTTATTTCCTCCAAATATCTCTGCTTCAGCATAATTCGCGGATCCTTTAAGGGCGGGAATGGCAGACCGATGATCAATACAGCCCTGCCGTTTGCATTAGCGAAGTCCAGACCTTCGCTGACTTTTCCTCGGCACACCGCCATAAAAACAGCCCCCTTGCAAGACGGGTCACTAATTTTTTGGTAATACTCGTTCATCACGTTAACAAATCCCTCTTTAGAGTTGGGCTCCACATAAATGGGCTGTTGTCCAATTAATTCATTTGATATGTACGTCAGAAGATCCGTTACTCCGTAATAAATACGCCAAATATTTCTTACCTTACGTTCAGCGATCTGCGTCCACAGGCCCATGTTCTGCCACTCGTCCCTGCACTTCCTCATGATTGGATACGAAGGAAAGAATATTAACAATCCGTGGGGGACGATGCAGCTGAAGTTGTACACCGTCCTTCCGAGAGACGCAATGTACTTTGGATCATTTCTGTAAAATTGTAATAGAGAGACTCATTCAAATCGCTATTCATTTCATCGTCGGTGCTCAGCAGTTTTTACCTTGTGTTGTAGGACGAATTGAGCGGATGATTATCCGGCCCTTGGCTGAGAACGCCAACGCACACTTGTTCCTTCGTCACTATATGCGGATTTTCCAACTGGACCGCGATTGGTATACCGAGCTCCGATATGAATGGCTTCAACGGAGACAATGTGCCGCTTGTGAGCACCACCGAGCGTATGCCCTGCTCTACCATTTGCTCCATGCTGTAAAGTACTTATTTGTTACAAGAGTCGCGTTAGTCGCGACAATATGTTTCTTTCGTCAAGCGAATCATACCCGAAACCAGGACTGAAACACCAGTAACTGATAAGCTTCCCGTCCGTTTTAGTTGTCTTTTTGCTCTCCCAGACGTCATTCTTGTAATTCTTCTTCTGCTCCTCCATTTGTATGTGGACTTTATAGCAGCGTTTCACCTTCTCCCTGTGACGCGCGATAGAGGCACCGCCGCTGTTGAAAGCGGTCCTCAGTAAATCGCTAAACTTCTGCAGCGCATTACCTTTCCTCGCGTACGGCGAAGTGCTGGTGGTTGTCAGGTATAAAATAATCTTTTCCAGCTTCTCTATCACAATTTGTTCCTTACCATGTGTTAACTGTTACAAAAAGTTACGCTGTAACCACAGGTAGCGCACACATGTTATTCGAATAAATTTATTTAAGGAGGTCGAGAGTCCCCCATACCTCGACTTTCTCAAGTAGTTCGAAAATAAATCCACCGGGAAAAGTGTCTCCCTCGCCACGGTTTTTTAACTCGATGGAGTCGATTGCCTTCTCCAGTTCCAAAAACATTGCTTTCAAGATGCACAGATCTTCCGTTGTAAAATCTTTCTGGACGTTGTTCTCCGACAGAAAGTCGTTCTGCTGGTCCGAGTCCTTAGCCATGTCTTGCATTACCGCGGTTACCTCGTCGATACACATTGCAACATCTGTACTGCTTATCTATTCAGGCAGGCACAATATTTAATTAGAACAAACGTGTAAAAAGAGTCGAGAGAAAGAAGGTTTGCGTCTATACCTGCAACGACGCCGCTTCCTCGCAAACTTTCTCAACATTGTGAGCCTCGTCCAGCAAAACCACAGTGTTTTGTAAATCTATACCCTGCGACCTCCGTGTCTTAGGGTCCAGCAGATAATTGTAAGGCATGAAAATGATATCCGCACTCTGCTTCAATTCCTTCGCCAAGAAGTACGGGCAGCACTTGTGCTTCTGTCCGACTTTAACTAGATCCTCTATGTCCAGCACCTCCTGTTTGAAGACAGGATCGTCTTTCCTGCGGAACATAAAAATTGATACAATACTCGCTTCTCCTGCGTCTACCGAGGAACTGTCCAAGTCCCACACCCACCTGACCTCCACGTTGTTGTAATAGAAACAAGTTCTTGATTTCACTTTAGCATGGCACATGTGTATCTTGTTGGAGCTGGTCTCCTTGGAAACTTCGGGATGAATGCACAGCTGATCTCGGGATCCCAGCACAGCGGTGACCACGTGCTTGTACGACGTCCTCTTCAATTCGTGCATAGCCTGAGACAACTGTGAGTGCGTCCGAGACGCGTAAATAATTTTGGGCATGGCCCAGCCGAAGCTTTGAGCATTGTCCGCTGCGCCTGCCGCCTTCTCGAGTCCGCTGGTCAAGTGTTTAAAGAAATGCCCGCCAAAGTCCTTCTTTTCGATCGCGCCTGCTATCACCTGCGCCTGTAACTGAGCCTTCTTCGCCAACAGCCAGCTCAGGGAGGAACACAAGAGGCTCAGAGTCTTTCCGGTACCTGTGGCAACATTTATTCAATCGCAAATCTGTCGAAGAGTTGGCGAAACAGACTTGATAAAAAGAAAACTAATGAAATGGAAGGATGAAGGAGAGTATTAATTTGTATGCCAAGTACTTGAACGGTTTCAAATCAACGAACGGAGAGTTTGCTTATTGTCACCAGTGAGGATGAAAAAATTGACTGGCCGGTTGGGTTGACTATAAGTCTCTCGTCTCAATTGGTTTTTCAAATCAATCTTTTCAAGTTGGAAACACATTGCAGTTCCTCTTTTCCAAGTCTCGAGTCACTAAAAAGTCCTTTTAAACTCGTCTCCGTACCTGTCGGCGACTCCAGGACACCGTGCTGGCTGTTTTGCAGGCATTCTATCACCTTTCTCATGTACTCCTCCTGCACGGGGTACGGCTTGAAGGGGAAGCTGACGACGATGTCGTTGATCGTGACATCGGGCATCTTGGGGCCTCGATCGGGAAAGACGCGTCAACCGCGACAAACCTTCACCTGCTGTTTCCCGCCGCGGTGAGGGGACTAACCTAAACTCATCTTGCACCTCACTGTACACTCGCACCGCACTCTCTGCACCATCTGCACTTCAAGCGGAGCAGACGGGGCACTTTGGACTCCGAACTTTGGCGGGAAAAGGAAGGTGGCGACGGAGTGCAGAGAGTGTGACTCGCACGACCGGATTTTACATCCAATTCGATAAATCTTTCGAGCTCTACCTTCTTCCTCTTCGTCTCTTCTTTCTTTCTTTGTAATCACGCACTCGCTTCGTCAGGAACTTTTTGGACTCCACGCTTTTCCTCTCCGTTTTTCTAAGCATTTTAATTGCACACTTTTCGAGCTCTTCTCGTTTTTCCTTTCTTTTTCTTTCATAATTATTGGCCCATTTTAATCGAACCTGTCGGCCCCCTTCGGTTTTCCTCTCGTTCTTCTCTTGTTTGCTTACTCATTTTAAATAAACTTTTTGGTCTTTTTGATTTTTCTCCCTCCCTTCTCGCCCTGCGTATACGCCCATTTGATTTCTAGTGCAGAGAGTGTAACACGGTGTGCGACCACCAAGTGCAGCCAGCGGAGCGC